TTTATCATATCTATAAAAAAAATTTAAAAATAAATTTTGTTATCAAATTTATGTATTAAATAAATACTTAATTACACTATATCTAAGTACACTCAGAAGCACTTAATTGTTCCTTGCTTTCATGTGCTACTGACACAAGTTTTTTTTTTTTTTTTCAATAAAAAGGTTGTGTACTTGCTTATAGGGTTGATTCTTTGACACTTTCAATCTCAATTATTAATCAAACAGTCCTTTAATTTTAAGTATTATATTTTTCCAAAGTTGAAACCTTATTCTTCTGCTGAAAATTTATAGTTAGTTTATTAAATTAGAGATATTTAATAAAATTAATTTAAATATATTGAATGATTAAAGCAAACATATAGTATTTATTTACTTTTATATTTGTCATAAAAATTATTAAATAATTAAATATTATCTATTATCAAATAATTAATCAAATGATTATCATGAGAGTCTTTTCTCATCTTACATTTGTATCTATTTAAAAGAATAAGAGATGTGTGTGAAAAAGTTTGACATGTGATTGGAGGATTTGATGAGGGAGCTCAAGTGTGTGTGAAGTGTGAACTAAATATGCGTGCAAGCTACACCCACTCACCCAGCTAAAGGAGAAAAGAAGTACGTATTGACCATCATTAAGCTCCTTTGTTATATCATGTATGATATATATGGTATGGGACACTTGTCCCAAGAATTAGGGGCAGGGTGTTACTTCATCCTTCGTCATATACTTGCTTATTCCACTTCATTTTGGTCCCATTGCTTGTCAACCCACAAAAAATACAATCTACCTATCTATAACAACATGCAATTATACAGAATATAATATTTGCAAAATCATTTAAAATACAATATACGGGTTGGTGAGGCTTTTCCCTTTCAATTATTCTTTCTTTAATGTGTTAAGACCTCGTTATTATTATTATTTAAATAACTTGAACACGAAGTGGGACACATATAAAAGTATTTTTCTAGATAAATTATTATTTTTCTATATTTTAATGCTTTTTTTTATCATTTTTTTCTCAAGATACAAAACTTAAATGATATTCTTCTATTAACTTTTTGAAGATGTAAATGAGAAAGAGAATTTGTATATTTTTTTCTCTTCTCTTTAATTTTTTTTTGTATGATCGGAGATTATATGGTCCTGATCAATCAGAACCAGACACGTAAAAACAATTTTGTCACGTGTCACATTATTTATTTTTGTTATCGATATTTTCTTTTCAATTACTGTCATGGATTAAATGAAGTTGATAATTGTTTTTTTTTTTTTATATTATTTTCTTAATGATATAGGTGTTCATAAACTAATCAAATATACTGCATATTCAAAACTTTATTCAAAATCGAAAAATATATTTTATGATCGGATAAAATGATTTTTTTCTAATCAAACTGCACACCCTACAATGATCTTCCTAAACATTTACTGCAAAATTTTTAAGGTATGCATATCATTGGGAATCTCACGTGGTGCCTTTCTTTTTGTCAATTCCTTGCTGGGTGCAAATAATTAGTCCATTTCTTGTTGGGTCCAACTAAGAAACTGGATTTCAAAATGTTTAAGCCGTAAACATGGCCCAAAGAAAATGACTGTTCGAGTTTTCTTTTCAGCTCCTTCCTAGCCCATCTGTGACCCAACCCTTTTTTTGTTGGGTTTTGCTTAAGCAATTCCTTTACGCACGCCGCAGTTGAGTAAATATTTTCAATTTTTTTATAAGCACGAAGAATATTGCAGAATCGGTAGCTATAAACTAATTTCTCTTCAAGTGCAAAGAATAATGAAATCAAATCTGCTTCTTCCAAAAATGTCTTTTTATTTATTCAATCATGATTAACATATTTAAGATAAACAACTATCTACTACATTACATTATTATATTATTTTTAAAGATAATTACACTTGTTTTTTATTTGTTTATCGCTTTTTTGCCAAATTCCCGTCGTGGTTTTTTTCCTTAGACAAAACATAGATAATGTTATAAGTACTTTTTATGGTTTTCTTCAAGGAATTGGATATCCTACAATTGAAGTTTGAATTGTACGAGATGCAATTATAAATTAATTTGACGGTTGTTAAGTTTCAAAAGGAGTTTTCATGCCTCAGTGAAATATAAAGACAAACATTCTCAAAGGTTAAGATATGTGCAATTCAAATTTCAATTATAGAAATTTTTTAAGTTAAATATTAAATTGATGAAAATTTTAATATTTATAAAAGTTAACAAACGTAATAACTTTAAGAACATAAACCTTTTGAATAAGTAGATCCCTCTATGTGTATCCATAAGGTGTGTCCCTGCATGGAGTGGTTGAGCAAAAAATCTTTATTTTCTTCTCAGTGGATGTTAACTGATCCAAATTCCAAATCTCCTCTGGAGGAGAACTGAATATTCATATGAGATAAATGAATTGAATTATAGTCAAAAGACATTGGAGTGGGTGAACCTGGACCATCCTAAGGAAAAAAAATGTTGATTGTTCTATATATTTTATGGAAAATAGTATTTCACATGTGGAAGGGCGTGGGCGTGTATAATTAAGAAAAAATAACAAAAAGGAAAAAGAAAGAAAAGGAAATTGATATAATAAATAACGTGATGAGAAAAGGAAAGAGAATGATATTAAAAAATGGGTAAAAAAATTCAAGTGTTATTTTGCTCCTTGTTATGCTTCACATATTTTGGCATTAAATTTCTCTTACCGATGCATATATTGTTCTGTCTATTATGTGCACGCGTATGCTATTTTAACCTCCAACTTTTTAGTAAAGAGAACACAACATAAATTTTATCAAAACTAATCGATAATTGAAAAAAACATTAATAAAAACAATAATTTCATTGTTTACACATCAAATTAACAATTAATATTATTTGTTATATTTTATATCATTATCTTATATATATATATATATATAGAGAGAGAGAGAGAGAGAGAGAGACACATTTTAAAATACCCTCTAACTAATATCAAAGGAGACAACCTACAACTCTTTTTTTCTGTTCTACACAAAACGTGCAAAGAAACAAAAGAAGACGACGATTTACCACCCGACATATATTAAATGAATTGTTTTAGGTGATAAGACTTAGCAGAATTCAAAATTAATAATATAATTAAACTTCCCAACAAATGATATAGACTAAACTTTTGTTTTAATTCTTGAAATATGAAGGGTTAGGTAATTTAATTTTTGTAATATTAAAAATAATAAATTAGTCATTGACTTTTATTTTTATTAAATATTTTAATTCTTCGACTTAAATATTAAAAAATGCTGCTTTTGTGTTCTGCTTCTGACTTAGGATTGGGTACTAGAATTGGTGGTGTTTGAAATTGCCGCGAAGATTGGATCTAGACGTTCTTTATGTCTTTGCTTAATTATTTTCAATTTTTTAAATCCCGAGTGATGCAGATACGGGAGAAGACATGAATAATTTTCAGCTTTGTGGTGCCAATTCATCTGTTTCAACTTTACAACGCATGCAAAGAAACTGTACTTGAAGAGGAATATATACTGGACCCACGACCATTATATATACGAGCTGTCAAGTAGGGTTACGATTTTTCCTATTATGACCAATCTCTGCATACGTAAAGAACAAGAAAAATAAAAAATAAATCAAGAAAAGAAAAAGAAAATTCAAAGTCTCAGACCTGAAAACCTTGAACCCCCCATTGAATTTTGTTACCTCGAGAAACAATCACCGATGTTGCACATATACCTGATAAGAAGATGGAAAAATAACAACATAAACCCACTTAGAAATGATATTTACTTTCTTGGGCTAAAAAAGTCAAAATTATTAAGAGATTATTCAAATTGTAATTTTCTTTATATAAATATAAACTTTAATTTCACTTATAGTTAAAATAATATTTAAATTTGACAAAATTTAGGTATAATGATATAAATATCTTTAGTGTTGTTAGTTAATTAATGTTGATCTTTAATGTTAGTTTTTGTTATATATTTACATATATTATCAAAATAAAATTTTAACTTTGATAACAAAAAATAACATTAATAATACTTACTTTAATACTTCAGAATTTTATCTTTATTCTTAAAACTAAAAAATGACCGAATCTTTATGTCTATTTTTCTCTATATATATTCATAAATTTTCGCTAACAGTTTTTCCATTGACAACAAATGTTATACTTCTGTTCACCGAAAACAAACAATAACATTAAAGTAGTATTTACCTATTGATTTAGTTCTTCTAAATGATATGGCAAATGATAGCATCACAGTTTTTTTTAGCAGTACTATATTTCATATAATACTTTAATTCATTTTCTTAATAATTTATGAAAAATATTAAATAAAAGATATGCATTTAACATTTTAAAACTATAAAAATTAATATATTTTTATTTAGTAAATTGGAGGATTGACCCAAAAAAAAGTTCTAATACTAGAGGATTAATTCATCTTTTTAATACACCCCTTGACACATTTTGTACCATTGATTTTTTTTCTAAAAAATAATTTAGTTGTCCTGCAAATAAGTTACTTTATAAATTCATTTGTCATGAATGATCTTTCTCTCCAATTAAAATTAACTATATTTCTTAATTTTTTATGAGAGTGCTAAGCCTAATTAACTAGTGTTTATAGCTTGATAAGGATTTAAAAATAAAGATATCTAAAAGCTTTTATGCATTAATTGTTGTATTTTTAACTAAATATTTCATTTTTTAAATTTCTTAACATGTGTTTAGGACACTAGTTAAAAGATTTTTTTATATTGCCAAGTCATTGCCAGTAATACATGTTTCGTTCTCTGGGCCAAACTAGTGGTTAATCGGCTCGGCATGTTGAAGTTGAACTGGATAAATATTCTCTGACCTCTCCTCGTATAACAGTCTCTAACTTCTAGTCACAACAGCAACATTTTTAAGAATTAAGCAAATCTAAAAGGAATAATCCGTGTACAATTATATATATATATATACTGTAGGTGGCTCTAGTTATACATATTAATATGTTTTATATTATTCTTTCCAACGATCCAAAAAGTATTCATCAATCTATTTACAAAAATACACATGCATATGATTATGCAAAACAAGATCTCTATTTTCTTTCTGCTTTTGTAGAAAAGAAATTGGAGAGATGAACTAATATTCATCAGTAACACTATATTATCCACCCAAAATGTAAAGGGTGGGAAAAAAAATGAAAGAAAGAATTGCTAATTAATTAATTAGAGAAGAATAAAAGATTATCACTATGTCACGGTTTCTATTAGAGACCTAGTATGAATCAACTTAGATCCCTTCTCCTCCATTCTCTTGCTTTTAGGATGAAGCAATTTGAACAAAAACCCACTTTTCTTAACACTCTTGTTATTACAATCATCCTCATCACCAACGCCACCTTCACCTTCTTTTCTTCTGGGAACAACAGCCATTGACCTACTCTTGACGAGTCCACCACGTAATAGAAAGATGGAAGCGGAAGAGCCACTCTTTGCCTCGTTGGGAAAAGGGAAAGGATCATGCGTGGGAGAAGCACAGGAAGAAGCGGAAGAGGAGTAATAAGAGGACAAAGAAGAAGAAGAGGAAGAAGAAGTGGAGGTTGTTTTACGTGAGGAGGAGGAGGAAGAGGAAGAAGAAGATAGTTGAGAAAGCTTGTCGTTCAAACAAAGAGAACATACGCCAGGGGATTGACGGTGTTTAGGGTGCTTCTTGCAACGACCATCGGGCATGAACCTCCCAACAATGTCTTTGTCCTTCGAAGGTCGTTTTAGGGTGGCCATATTGAAGGGCTACATTGTCGTTTGGAAGATGAGAAAGTTTGGTTGATATATAGAGATGAGATATGATTCGTATGAAGGAAGGGGATGAGGGTGTGTTCCACTTTCCGTGATAGTTCATGGGAGTTTCCTCAAAATGGTCTTTTTGACGGTTTTGTACAAGTTGAAAAATAAGACTTGGAATACTTGTCTGTAGGGTTAAAATGGACGCCTATGATTGAGCCACGTAGCCTAACTCGGTGGTTACGATGGTCTCCTGTTTGTGGAAAAGGCCAAAACTTTTCTTTGGGGCGGCGTGGAAAATCTTTAATTTTACAAGGAATATAAAGTTTGGCGTCGACAAAATCAAAGCAACCATGGTTCTGGTAAACGATTAAACGTGGCCGTTTTGTATTGCTATTAGCCTATTACTATATTTTATTATATGGGAATTTTTGTGAGTACAACCAAATAGTACGTTGTCATGGCTATAGTCTTGACTTGAGACACTGGCTGCGTGTATTTCGTTCTTGATTTCTGACAGTTGTTCTTCTGCCAATCAATCCATTGATTCTGCCATTTTTATCTATTTTTTATAACACACAGTCTCACTGCGATCCCCTCTTATTATTTTTACATTTTCAATTTTCATTCTGTGAACACGATTTGGCTCTCTTATTCTCACAGCTTATGCTTCAAATATATTATTTTCGATTGTTTCATTTATTATTAATTAGATCATTTATCATGATCCATATAGTTTATTGGCAGCTAACTTTAATAAAAGAATAACATTTGTGGATGTTTATTTTAATTCCCCCCTTTTTTTGTTATTAATTTTTTCCATTTCTTTATTGAAACTAGTAAAAAAGCAAATTATCATATAAGATAAGAATGAAAAAAAATTAAAATAGACGTATGCACACTTTTTCTCTTGCCCGAGAAACATCAAAGTAGGAAGAAGAGAGGGAAAAAAAACTTATAAGTATAGATTTGGATAAGTTTTTTAAAATGTTTTTACAGTATGATAATCATGAAATATAACATCTTTAATTAGAGGTATACTAATTTCCTGAAAAGTGAATTAAATGAAAAAATTACATCTAACATATTATACACAAATACTACACATTAATTACTTATGGATGATATTATTGGCTTTACAAATTAACCTGGATTAAAAATAAAGTTGAAATGGTCTAGCTTTTATTTCAATAATAAGTTAATGATGAACAATTTTTAAATTTTAATACATTATTAGTTATTTTTTAATTCAATATTTTTATAATAATAAAATAAACTTTATTTAAAACGTTTAAATATCCTGCTGAAAAAACAAATGTAAGGGTCTCTACAACATGAGGCATAAGACAGCGACGTGAACCAGTAACAGGGCGAGGAAAGTGCCTAAGAGCATTCAAAATCTCCACTTTTCTTTGTCGACATCGCCGAACTCTGCTCCTACCGCTTTGTCACAACCGCAAAGGTAGCATTCACCATTTCTTTTTTCTGCTTTTGCTTTACCAATTACGTTATTTATTTCTTTTTCTTCAGCCCGCGGCAACGTTTTCATGATGTTCAAAAGAACTCTGCTTAAAGCGCAACATACGTGATGATATCTTTTTAATTTTCAAATCGTTTCGAAAGTTTCGAATGGAGTTCTACTCCTTTCTTCATATTAACCACTGTATATCTCATCGAAGTGGAATGTGGGATTAAATCAATCCACCTTAAACTAAAGTTATATAAAATAATAAGGAAAAAGCTTTTAGCAGTTGTTCAATTTTTCACGGCTAAGTTATTCATAAATTGAATCTCTCAAGATCTAATACTCCTAATGTTAAAAATTAAAGATAAATATGCATTCACTCGCTCATTTATTCGAGTCACTGACTACACTAGTAAAAAATTGTGGCAGGTAGTCAATGATATAGATTGCTATAAATCTGTCATTGAGAACGTATGCATCAAATGATTTGAAAAGGAACGCTCGTAAATATGCAGAAAACGAGAGAAAACCAAAAACAAGACAAAGCTCTTGCTGGAATAGTCAGGAAATGGCATTCCAATGGTTAACGATAGAATGAAAAGTGAATATTAAAAAAAAATAAATTAATTTTTTAATTTGTGCTAAAAAATATTAAATATACTTTATTAAATGTTTTAAGTTACTATCAAAAGTATGTATTAAATGTTTTTTATGATATTGAAATATTAAATATTCTAATTTTTAATAAAAATTTTCTATTTTAAACTTCTTAAAACGTGTCTTGAGATAGGCATTAGAAAAATTGAAAAAGAAAAGGTAGTAAGGACAAAAAAAAATCACGGAAATACAAAATTTCGAATTTGAGTAATTAAAAGTGGTTTGGATCTCCCTCGTGACTCTATCACTTCATTAATGGAAACCTACCAAGCAATGGTTCAAGGTCAATTTATTGTTTACCATTCAACTTCATTACTAATCACCACTCCACCCAACCAAACATAACCTAAATAATTGGAGAAACAAAAAAAAATTATCGATAATTTTGATACGCCAAATCATTCATCGCATTACACATGAACGATATTAATAGGTTAATATCCAATCAGAATCAGAAAATCAAATATTTGTGCCTGTCAATAGTTACTCAAGATGTTATAGCTAAAAAGAAGCGAGAACCAACGACAAAACGAAGGGCCTGCCAAGTGCCAACTCTTCATCGGAGAATATCTGCAGTTATCAAGAAAGTATCTTGTACTACTCAATTCGGTTTTCGGCTGTTCAAGAAGCCTCAGCGGTCTTGACTTCTCTAGGACATTGAGATACATATGGTTTTACTTGCATAAAAAAGTTGTATGAATAAGCAGCCACTAATGGTGAATGAAAAAAACTATATTCATCATGTTATATTTACAAAAATTCTTTACCCCTAATCATTTATAAAAGGAAAAAGTATAGTTTATAACTTATGGTCATTTCAATACTGTAAGTAAGAAATGTAAACATTTGGAAGAAAAACTGGTAACTAAAAGAGTTCTGATAGTGTTATGCATTAATTGAGATTAAATGAGTGAAATATGCAAACCTAGAAATCAGTCAAATCAGGAACTATATAATTTGGCAATTTTTCTTGCACCACTACATAACCACCTGCAACAATATGCAGATTTACATTCAATTTAAGTGCTCATAAATATTAAGTTAAAAAACAGTGAGCATCTTTCATACCAACCAATCCAATCGAATCACAGTATAGTTAAATAGACTAATATTTAAAAAGTCACAAGATTTTGCCTAAAAACACAAGTTTAGTGATATAATATTATTTGGATAAATTTTATTGATTTTTAGCAAAGCCCGATGTGAGCTGGTAGCCTGGTAACCTATTCAACTTAGCAGAGGTATGATTTGATTTAAGTCATTCTTTCTAGATTTAACCAATAATAATGAACATTATTGGTTTCATGTCAGCGACAAATTTAAGATCTCTAAGGGCGGTCATAAGTACACCAAAATATTACCTTCAGGAGACTCACTTATTGGTTCGGCTTGGTTCGCAATTGGCTGCTATGGGACAGGTAGGGATTATTGGACTCCAGAGACATGGGTTGATATTAAATGCTTGAAATTTCCCATCAAAACACACAGTTCAGCGCTTCAATGATAATATGGTCTCCACAACCATTACCAATTCGACAAACAAAACAACTTGCAGGTTTATACTCTGTTCTTTCAAGAATCAAGACACATACAAGCAATTATACATGAACTAAGAGGTTAAGATTTAAGAATCAACACACACAACCAGAAACGCGTATAGTCATGCGAAGCCAAATATATACATATATTATTCTGTGTGTTCAACTGAATTTCATTACAGTTTTAATAATGTTATCATATTTTATTCATTTTTGTTTTTAATATTTTTAAAGGAAAGATAGAAACATTTTAAATTGAAACAAACATGTTTTAAACTTCATTTAAGGTTAAATAGAAAATTAGCAAAGACCAACACAGCCAAGATCAACTAGTTTATGGATTAAAAATAATTAGTGAACAATTTTTTTAATATAGTTAAAGATATACAAAAAAAATTAATAAATATTTCATTAATACTATATTAGATCCTTTCTTGTTAACTAAAAACTTATTATTTTCTTTTAGTACAATAAAATAATAAGCAACAAAAATTCTCAAAAATAAAATAAATGATATAAAATTTTGGCATAATTAACACTTGCACATGTACTCCATTAGTTTAAACATCATAAATAATATGGGATCGCACGTAATGACAAAGAAAAAAGATGGGATCGGACACGTACCGTTGTGCAAACTTGAGGGGTGTTTATATTTAAGCTTCACTATCGGTAAAAACATCTCATCAATTGTGGTTCAAAAACAATACCTGAATCTACCTTCAAGACTAACCTGTCTATTGTTTTACATTCTTCTAGAAAATAAGACAAAGAAACTACTAACCCTTCCAAACTTTTACTGAAGCGGCATAAGCAGGATACAAAATTTATGCCGCAAAGCAATCATAGTGTAAATTACTGTGTATCTCTTCAATGCAACTTTCATGCCTGTCTATCCTTATCATTTTTACCTCATTAAATTAAATTCTTCTGACATATTTTTGGAATCATGTTCTTGGCTTGATGAAAATGGAGCACAGCAGGAAGAGATGTCGATTCCAGCTACCTCCATGGCATTGCTGACCCATTCAGGAACATCACCTTTTGGGAACTGCAGTATGAAGATGTAAGTAGGTCTAACAGCCACTTGAATTAGAAAAAAAGATAATTTCAATAGAAATATAACAGGTTTCAATTTCGAAACAACCAAGAATAGAAAATAATAATTGCAAGTAAATCTATCATATTATTTTAGTAATATGATATTCTATTGTTTATTTCAAAAGAATTGCCCCAGTATTAAACTGAAAGGCATGACTAGAAATAGGACTGAAAGGCCAAGTCTGGAGGACAGAACTTCTAAGGCTGACTAAAATGTGTGCCCTTTTGAAACAATTCCTTCTGGCCTTTGGTGGGTCGCCTGAGCTTGCCATTACAAAAGTTTCCCATAGGGAGGTTCAACTTTTGCTCATCCTTTGAAAATTCAACCAGCATTATACCATCAGCTATCAGTATAAAAAGCAAGGTGTTGAATGAGAAATGTTGTAGGAGGTGTAAAAATGACAAGAATCACAGGGGAAGGTGAAATAATCAATTATTCTCACGTGTATGTTTAAAATTACATAAGAAAAATCAGAAAACAAATCAAAGAAGATGGGAATGAGAGACGGAGAGAGTAGTAATCAACCAGCTATTTGTGATACAGGAAAAATAAGACAAACAAATAAAAAATAAGTCTTCTCATGGAGGAATTGATCTCTGTGCTGTATATGCAACAGATATAAAAGAAAATTACAATTACATGATACATAAACCTCCTTAAGATTTGAGATCATTACAATGATCTCAAAAACACTTCAGTAAAAGTGTAAAACTTAATTTTATTATCACACCTTGGTCAAAACAAAGTAGAGTCAAATTATATCTTAACTCTTAATTTCTTTGGTAAACTAGCTATATCCAACCGCCAAGTTATGATGATTTGCAAATAAAACAGAAAACTATAGGTTGATGGCCTCTAATGCCAGGTTCATTTAAAGAGAGATCAACGCACCTTCTCTAACCAATATTTAAGAGCAGAATTAGCAGATTTATCAACTGAAGTATAAAATGAATTTTATTAAACTGTTTCCAAAAAAATGTTGGGTGGGGATGGGGGATATGAAGTTTTTGATAAAAAGAGCAAAAGTCAAAGCAATGTGCTCAAAAATTCAAAAAGGGTTGATTTAGTTTTCTGCAGCATACCATTTTGTGTAGAAAGTCGCATACAAACCTACAAAAAGCAAAAATAATATACAGTTATTGCATTTTGTTGGACCGAAAGTAGTAATTTAGATCAGAAGTGAGATAAAATGAAACAAAAGAAATAATTAAATATCAAAGTGAACATACTCTGGGAACCTTCCTTCAACTATGGAAGAGTGTAGATTCCTACTGAGCTGCAAATTTTGGAAAGACAATGACTTTAACCATAAATATTAATACAACTGATTAATGGTTTTTTTATCAGATGATATTGTTTGTAGTTTGTACCTGCATCATGTAGTATAAATTATGATATGACAAAAGCTGAGACCCCATGGCATCTTTTGTTACAAGGCAATGGATGTATGCCCTGGTGTAGTTCTTGCAAACCTGTGACAGAAGACATAAACTAAAACACCTGCTGATTTCTGCAAACAGTTTATCAAATAAAAAAGTGACGTATCTTACAAACATACCATACAAGAGCAAGTAGGATCAATTGGACGGGTGTCCTCAGCCATTACTCTGTGTTTTAGTTTCAATACTCCCTGCAAAATTTCTGAAAAAAATAAGTTCAAAAAGAAATTGATGCATGAATGAGCAGAATTTTGCTATATTTTTAAAATTAGCATTATCCCAACATGCAGAAAACATCATCAGCCATTACACTTAGGTTTTTTAAATGTCATCAGATACACAATGAATATTTTGCTCAGGTAGGATAAACACAAACTTGAACATATGCATATGACTGTTTCAAATATGTGGAGAAAGAATGTTACAAATTATCAATAAAACGATAATGAAATAATCACCTCAGGAACAAGAGCAGTGCCAAAGCGTGCTGTACGGGTAGGATAAACACAGTCATACATGTCAGCACCCAAAGCACTACAAACAACAATATCAAGTGGATAACCAACTCCCTGAAAGGAATACATGCAAATGTCACGATACATATAAATATTTCAAAAAAGTAGCTGCTACGATGAACTTCATTCTGACCATGACATATCGGGGTTTATCCTCTGGCAAAGAAGCAGTGCACTGAGCAACAACTCGCCAAAATGAATTTTTATCTTCACCGCCTGAAAGACCACCAATAGCATAGCTGTGACAAAAGAAAATAATTTTCAACTCCACATCACTACTGAAAAAACCATTCATTTCAAGACTCCTCTGTTGGTGTGTATTCGTATAGGTTGATACAAAAGAAAAGCAACTAATGACCATATCAAAATTGCATTCTTTGCTGCAAATAAAAACATCTTATGCAAGTAAAAATATCCAAACATGACCATGTAAATAATTCTTGTTTTCTGGTGCAGATTGTGGGTGATAGTCTATAACGTTCAAAATTCATTCTAATATGTATAAATTTATTAAAGAAAACCTTTATGGATATACAGTTCCTCACCCCCAAGAAGATAAATTTCAGCATAAAACAAGGAGAAAAACAATGTTCAAAGAACAAATTAAATAACAATGTAAAACCATTCATAAGTTTATGATTTATCATCTATATATAGGAAACAGAGACATTGCATAGATGATTTATGAATAATTTGACTGAGTTCAGTTTAGGAGCTGACTTCAGTACTGTACCCAAAGCCCAGCCAACCAAATTGGCCAGTAGTGAAATGGAAAGCTTGAAAGACTGAATTATTAAGGAACCAGAAAGATACACGGTCAAGTACATGATTGCTTATCTGAGGGATGTCCGTCAGATTTAAGTGTTTGCAAGAAAGTGAACAGTTGGGCTGCCTGATATAAAAAGAGAAGGTTGCGAAAACCTAAAGGGGGACAGTTGGAAAGAGGGAAAAAGTGACAGCTACAATTGGGAATAAGAACAAGAAGACCTTTCTCTTGTTCTCTAATCTTAGATTGTAGCTTCCTTATGTTTTATTTTTAATTTACTTTATAAGTACCTAGATGTAATGAATCCTTCGTAATCCTTTCCTGGATTTCTCCTTCAAATTATTTCAAATTTTGTTTTCTTGAGCTTAATTGAGTAGTTTCGCTTGTTGATTGATGATTCAGTTTATCTCATATCTTATTTTCATATTCTGGTTTTGAATTAAAATCTTGCATGAATTGATCATTGTTTATTTGAAAAGACTTGCATGCAATTTTAGAGACAGAATAACATAAGTCTTCGGTATTAGAAATAATCCTAATTGATAATAATTGAATGTGTAAATCCTTTTTTGATAATAAGCAAATGCATGAATCATTTTTTGATAATAAGCGAATGCGTGAATCCTTTTTTGAAAATAAACAAACGCATGAATCATTTTTTGACAATAAGCGAATGCATGAATCATTTTTTGATAATAAGCAAATGCATGAATCATTTTTTGATAATAAGCGAATACATAAATCATTTTTTGATTAATAAGTGAATGCATAAATCAATTTTTGATAAAGTGAATGCATTAATCTCCTATTGACAATAAGTGAATACATGAATTATTTTTCTGATAATAGGCGAATGCATAAATCATTTTTTTATAATAAGCGAATGTATGAATCTTTTTTTTATAATAAGCGAAAGCATGAATTAATTTTTGATAATAAGAAAATGCATGAATCATTTTTTGATAATAAACGAATGCATGAATTTTTTTATAATAAGCGAATGCATGAATTTTTTTTATGATAATGAATTAGATAGAGAAAGTATATAAAAAAATATGCTTAATTATATTTTTGATCTCTATAAATATAAAATATTTTGTGATAAGTCTTTATAAAATCTTTTATTAGAATTTAGTCTTTGCCGTCAACTCTCTTCCGTTGGATCCTGTGCTGACAAAGAGTTAATTCAGCACTTTCACATGGCATACTACGTTATTTAATATTATAATATTTGATTATTTAAAATTAATATTTACAAATAAATTCTTGAATATATTTTTAATATTTACAAACACCAAAACAAAGACATATATGCTAATGAGATGCAATTCAGAAACTTTACCTATATCACTTATTTTAACTAAATTATTCTCCTTAATGCGGGGTGAGGGTGTGGGAAAAGGGTGGTACAAGTGGAGGTGTAGAGAAAGGGAAAAGATGGAGAGGAGAGGGAGAGGTGTCGGTGAGGGTGTGGGGAAGGTGATGTAAGTGGAGTAATGGAAAAGGAGAGGGGAATAGAGAGTGGTGTCAATGGGAGTAAAAGGAGGGGAAAGAGGTGGTATGAGTGAAAGTGTGGGGATGGGGTCGGGTGCGAATGTGGGTAGACGTGGGGAAGGGAACAGAATGGAGGAGGAGGAGGAGGAGGAGGAGGGGGAGGGGGAGGGGGGGTGGGGAAAGGGAAGAGGAGTGAGAGGGGGAGGGGTTTGGGGTGGGGCAACAAAAAGGAAAGGAAAAGGGAAGGAGCAAAAAAATGACCTTTCTATACTTATTAAAAATGTGTTCATAAATTTATTTATAAATATTAATTTTAAATAATATAATATTATAAAATTAAATAACATGTCATGCTACGTAGAAGTGCTGAGTTAACTTTCTGTTAACTAGCGCAACATTTCACATTTAGAAAGAAGAATCAAAAGGATTGAGAGTGCAAAATGAAATCAATACAACAAAACAAGATCAATGGTACAATAAAAAGTGTAAAAAGATAAAGAGAACCTTACTTGATGCACTTTTGTTGCAATTTCTAGTTCACTCTTTAAACTTAGCTCCATTTTTCTCTCTTTTGTTAACATTTTAACATTTGAATTGCATTGTCTTTTCTTTCTCACATCTTTTAATGGTGTTCTTTGAAAACATGTACTTCGAGAATGGTGAATTTTTCTTAGAGTTTCTTACAGCTCTAAAGACTCTTCCCTTTCTTTTTTTTTGTTTCTCGTGCTTTTAAAATTCTCATCCTCTTTCATTTTGTTTCTTGTGCTCTTTCCATTCTTTTCCTCTCTTTCTCTTTGTCTCTCAGGCTTTCCAAATTCTTTTTTCTCTCTCTTTGAGGATACACCTCTTTATGGTTCACACCCCTAAACCTTATATCATATTTAATATATACTATTTTTATATAAAAGACTCTAACTTTCTAAAAGTTCTTATTTTCTGATAACCACTAATTAGTTTTCTCTCCACTATCTCATCCACTTTTCTAAAAATTTACAAATTACTTTGACTATTTTCAAATTTGATTTTAAATTTAAAAATTTGAATTTTAAATTAGTTTTTATCTATTATCTATTTTTAAAATTTGAAATTTTGTTTTAATATTTTGGAAAGGGACGCATATAAAATTGGTTATTCACATATGCCAACAAGAATTTGCACCTACCCAGGCAAATTGCGCTCCACCATACCTTTGACACAAATATCCCTGATTACAAAATAACATAATCTATAAGCAATATACAACTTTCACATTGGTAAGACAGTAACCAAGAAACTAAATATAATGCACAAGTAGCAAGAAGGTTGTGCTTTTTGCAGGAATTCACCTCAATACAGGATCTAAACCACCTTGCACAATACCAAACAAGTTCTGATCATGAGGTCTCTTGTGAGCTGTGTTAACAAAAGGCAATGCGCACCAAAACTCAGCATGCAAAAACAGTATTATAGTAGGCAATGCTAAAAAGCTATCTGAGTAGGATAAAAAATATAGCATTTCATGTCTATTTCACATCTATTCTAAAATAAATATCAAACTTTTTACAAACAGAACATGTTTGGCATCATTGACCATAATTTTATCCTCAGCACATGCTAAGAGAAAAACATAATAAACTAACCACATAAGGGACTTTAACATAAAGGGGTACATGTGTCAAGTGAATTTCCAATCACTTCACAATCTCGTTTCAAGGCCATTATAGAGAAAAAGTAACTATTTTCCAGTGCTTAAGTTATTTACTTTCAACCTTTATTTTCTCTAACAAAGTATCAAATTTGCTAGTGGTTTGATAGAAGAAAATCAATAATGGCAAACTATAAACTTTCCATTCCATTGTCTTTTGCAGTTCTCACAGCTTCTTCAAGAAATATAATATACAACAGAAATGTTTTACTGGTTAAAATTGGGGAAGAAAATATATTACTGCAATAAGGCCAGGTTTTTCATTATGAGGAAATAACTGTACGTTTAAGTAACAAGTAATATACAACTCAAATAGCACTATAAAAGAAATGAAAAATAAAACATTTAGATGTTTGTTCTGTTCTAAACACTTGCATATATAGTTCTCAACATTATAATTTAGTCAATATGACTTTGTAAAGTTTCTTTCAGATTTCAGTGATTTTCCGACCAAGGAAAAAGGGATTGACTGGTATGGTTTAACGATTTGATTGCTCTCAGGTTAGCTTGAATAATGTGTGAGTCGCACTCACGTTTCTAAATAGGGCAATGGAAAATTGAAAGTCAACGGACTATTCTATTCTCTTGAAAAATGGATCTAAGTCTTGATTGCTTCACAAGTTGGTGTGTACTAAAAGAAAATTGTGGAAATATGTCGATGAACAAAATAAGTAGCTTTTTCCTGCATCTCTCTGCATAAATTTATTAAATAAATAGATAAAGAGAGAGTTCAAGATCTATTGCTGAAATCTATCAACATTCTTCGGTGCCAAAAGAAAATTTAGATTCCATTATCATAGAATTGTTCTGGCAAGTATCCATACTCAAATATGACCAAAGTCCCGTGCATAGAATTCCTAATTCCCAACTTTATTATTAAGTTATGTCAAATCTTTGCTTTTTATAAACGAAGAAATTCATTTAAAAAAAATAGAGGATGAATGCAAAGAGATAAGAAGATAGGAGAACAAAAAAATTGCATCAATGAAAAATAGCTACCCACTCCCTTATCATATATGTAAGGGAAACCCCTAAAATAAGACCATGAGTTTTACACTTTGGTGCAAATGCCAACTCTTCTTGGCAAGTGGCAACAAAAATACGCTACTTTTTGTGTAGCATCTATTGGTAACAGATGATAATTTACAGGCTTTGTGAGAGGGCTACCCCAGTTAAAGTGATTTATATGCATTGACCATCACCATAGACAAGAAAGATACTCTTCTTCATTAACATATTTACCTTCTATGCATCTGTCTATCCATCTAAGTGTTCTATACATAGCTTCCTCAACTCGTGGACCAGTAATGGTGGTCTTTACAACATCGTCAAGAGCCATAATAATATCTGCTCCAATTCTATTCTGCATAAAATATAAACACATGAATCTGGAGAGCATCAGATCTTTAAAAATGCTTTTGGGAAAAACTGTGACAACAATCAATGAATATATTAGCTGTTGAGTTTAGATGCAATGCAAAAGAAAAATGGAGAGGGAGATAGCAGGAATTATTTAAGTGAAATTGATTGATTGTACAGTATTTAAGTTATATAGAAACTCTTTCTACATATATAGATGCTTAGTAGACTAAGTGCGGAGTATTTTTTAAGTAAAGAATAAATGAGTGCTACTTCCTAAATACTAATTCCCATGAAGATTAAATTCACTTAACATGTGATGCATAAAGCACACACAAGCTCTCCCAAGACTTTAATGTCAAGCATATAAAACTCAAGCTTGACTCATTTATATAATTGAGCCTAAATTCAAGCTTGAACTTGTTTGTTTATCAAAATAAACAAACTTGATCAAGCATTTCAGGAGTCAAATTCAAATAATTAACGAATAACTTAATTCATTTAATCTCTAGATATAGCTATGCAATAAAATATTTCTCAACAATTAACTTCATAACACCTTACAAACATCAGCTAGTTAATATTTTGTGTGTACAGAGAGTGAGACAAAACTGAGAGTGACTAAGAATAAGTAATCATATTCCATTGCTAGTACGGACTGCAAAGTACTGCAGGCTGTCTTGCATTGTCATTCGCAATTATTATTCATAAACTAATTGGGAGAAAGTTGAAACAAGAGTAGACAACATAAAAAACTGCAATAAAGGGGGAAATGGGAAGCAAAGATGAAGGATAAGACCTACTTTTTACAAGGGATAAATTCTAAACATTGATGAAAGTTCTAATGAAAGATCAGCCCTCCCTCAATTTGGAAATACTGTAGAAATAACTAATTTAAAACCAGAAATATTTTATTTCAAAACAAATTACATTTTGCCGATTCCATAATTTCCTTTATATTTTAAATGCAACATATATCAATATGAGGGGAAAAAACACTCAGGTAAAACTAAAAGTAAAAATGAGAAAAGATTAATCTACTTACTTGGATTTGAATTGATTCCTCAGGTGTTAGAAGCATTGGTTTTCCATCTACTGGTGACTGAAGTAAGAGAATAATTTTTTGTTACAAATAACAAAAATGGCATTATACTTCATGACATAATTCCATAAATCTTTACTGAATATAAATTGTTGTTTCCAGAAAGCAAATAATAAATACAAACACAGTTTATTGTCAAAATGACAGCCATGTATAACATCTAACACAAAAAGCAAGGTGAAAAAACTGGTATGGGTGTTAAAACACAGGTGATTTTAAGGTTTAACCAAACTGGTATGCACTCAAGTTGAGAGTTTGGATTTGGAAGGCATGGTCAAACCAGTTTTTAAACACTGATCAAGAGTGAAGCAGAACACACCTTTCAAATCTTGCATATATCTTGAAAGGGGAAAAAAATATACCTGAAATGTCACTCCTTTTTCTGTGATATCAGCAAGATGCAACAACGAAACCTAAAACAACAGTGAAATAAAAATGGTTTTATTTAACAAGGATCCTGAGCGTTATTATCAATCAACAAATGTACAATATTGGTTCACTTTACATAACATATGTTCTTGCCAAGCCTATTCTCACTGTTCATTTCTGGGAAATTTAATTACTTTCAATGCTTCTCTTAAAGAGTTAAATATGATTCTTCCTTTTGCATGGTTAAACAACACAAGACATAAAGCATCATAATAATTTATTTAATAACAAAAACTGGAAAGGAAGGGGAGAGAAACTTATGTTCCATCAGTCACAAATTTATCAATTTTCTGCTTTCCTCATTATTATGCAATTCTTGTGTAGTGCATTAACAATAAAAATAATGAAATTTTTTTTTTCTTCTTTTTTCATTTTTGGTGGTTATGTGGCATGAGCAATTGTCATTAGGTAAAATTAATATGTGTCAGTATTCAATGGATGGAAGATAATAGCATAATTGCTATTTGCTAAAATGCTAGAAATCACAATAGCATATGCAATGTTAATGAAAATGAAAATCATGGATACACAAGGTCATAAACTGTTGGGAGCAAATAGAAGAAAGAGAATAAAGAGAGAAAGAGAGAGAACAACACAAGAATTTAATGTGGTTTAACAGATAGTGTATGATGCACAGCTGCATTAGAAAAATATTTTATTCATCAAATGTTTTAAAACCATTCTAAAGTGTTACTTATATAGTAACAATAAAGTAAAAGTCCCTTAAGAATAAGTGACGTGAGAATCAAATTACACAATCTTAACAATTCTCTTACTTCAAGTTTGATTCACAACAATTCCTTGTAAAGAATGAGTTCTCCTGCTCTTCACCTAGTATAGCGCCTTCATCACCTTATCCTCGAAGGCTAGTTTAAGCAATGCAAAGCCTTAACTTATCAGTTGTAACAATCTTAGTCAACATATTAGCTGGGTTCTCTAATCCTAAAATCTTCAACAAAGACAAGTATCCATCACTTATCATGATAAACAGTGTTGTTAAATGGTGGTCGTGGCAGTGCCATGGCGGAATTTTGGTGGTAGTTTTTAACCCCACTATTACAACATTACCGTTTTCTGGCGTTTTTCAATGGCGGCTGTTACGCGCATGGTAGTAACGGCGGCCATGGCAGAAAATGTAGAAAAATGACGTTTTTGCGGGAAAAATTGAGTTGGGCCACTGACTTAACCTGCTCCAAAAAGAAAATCCGTGAGCCCAAACCCTAAATCATATATTTTCTTGCTTTCTTCATCACTATTGTGCCACTGTGGAGCGGCAGTGGGCTATTGTGCCGCTGTGGAGTGGCGGTTAGCCACGTGATGCTTGCTAGTATTTCTTTATTTGCAGAGGTTAAGCCCTAATTGTAGTGTCTTGGTGTAGGCGTGCACTTTTGAAGGGTAATGGAGAAAGAGAGCAAAATTCCAATCTTGCCTTGCTTTATGAATTTTAGGGTTTTTTAAGGGCAAAATAGATTTTTTCCACTTATAGTTTTTAACTTCTCGTCTCAAGCAAAAAATTTTCTGAAGGGTAAAATTTTTAGGATTCTCTTTGCTCTGTTTTTCTTCCTTCTTCTCTAAAGCCAACTTCTCCTTCATCTCCTTCACTATTTTCACCAGAGAAGACATCCTTTCAAGCTGTTTTTTGGCATCTGTGAGTGGAAGACCCTGTTTTCCAACGTCCATTTTCCATTTTGCTTCTCTGGGCTGTCCCTCTTTCTTAGCTTTTCCCTCTCCTATTCTTTTTTTTTTTCAATTATGTTTTTCCCTCTCCCATTCTGTTTTACTCACCCATTTTTTTCGTTTTTCCTTATTTTGTTTTCTTGATTCTATTTTTCTGTTTTCACTTTCAAGTTTCCTTCTCTATATTTATTTTTAATTCTCTACTTTTCTGTTATAACTTTAGCTTTTTTTTTACTATTGTACAACCATTTTGTAATATATATATATATATATATATAATAAAATCTTCTTATACCGGTATAAGTCTAAAAACTCTTACACTCAATTTGAATATTTTATTTAACTTAAATCCAACGATCAGTAAAATAATAAATTATAATACATTAAATCTAACTGGTTATAATTTATTACTTCACTGACCATTTGATTTAAGTTAAATAAAAGGCTCAGATTGAGTTTAAGAATTTTTAAACTTACACTGATGTAAGATGATTCTTTTCCTATATATATATATTATGACTACCATAACACGCCATAGCATCTGTATAAATTTATGACAGTTTTTTTGCTTTCTGCTATGACCCGTCATTCGCCATTGATAACATTGTTATCTACATTAAAAAATCCTTGTAAAGTGAAAACTTTGTTGGTCAAACTACAAACACATTCCTAAAGTGCACTTTAGATATCTCAGTATCCACTTAACATCGGTGTAAGTTTAAAAACTCTTACACTCAATTTGAGTATTTTATTTAATTTAAATCTAACGGTCAGTATAGTAATAAATTATAATCCATTAAATTTAATGGGTTATAATTTATTATTTCACTGACCATTAGATTTAAGTTAAATAAAATGCTTAAATTGGGTGTAAGAATTTTTAAACTTACACTGATGTAAAATGATTCTTCCCTTATATATATTATGACCACCATAACACGCCATAGCATCTGCATAAATTTATGACAATTTTTTTGTTTTCTGCCATGACCCGTCATCCGCCATTGATAACATTGCTATCTACATCAGAAAATCCTTGTAAAGTGAAAACTTTTTTGGTCAAAGCACAAACACATTCTTAAAGTGCACTTTAGATATCTCAGTATCCACTTAACATCTGTATGCAACAATTTTAACTTTGGATGTCTTTCCTAACTTTGAAAAACTAACATTTTTCTATTTTCCAATGATACAGTTTTCATAGACTCCAACATCAACATACTTCAAACTTGATAATTTACCCTTTGAAGTCATGAGTTTCATTCCTTTATCATTCATGTGCCCAAGTCTTTGATGTCATAAAAAGGAACTGCCAACAGCCTCAATAACTATTACTATATCCTTATCTACAACTATGTAAAGAGACTGTCACTTTTTTCCACGAGCTATAATCAAATTGTCTTTCGTTACATACCAAATTCCATCTTCAAAAGTGGTGTAATGCCCCTAGTCATCTAGCTGTCCTATAGATATTAATTTTTGCTTGAAGGCAAGAATATATCTGACATTGTACAACGTTCACCGGGTCTCATTAGAGGTTTTGATGTCAATATTACTTTTCCCCACAATAACAAGAGACCTATCATTTGTAGGGTAAATCTTCCCAAACTTTCAAGAAATATAGTTAGATTATAGTTCTATAAAAGGAGTAGTGTGAAATGACACACCTGAATCCATAACCCATGAGTCAACTAGACTATCCAAGCTATAAAGTAATGCATATGCTCAGTTGCTACATTTGCAAATTCATCATCATTATCATCATAATCATACTTCTTATTTTTATTGCTATTCTTCTTCGAAGTTTTGCATTGATTGGTAAAGTGATTTCTTTTGTTTGCCATTTTCCTCTAGACTTTGATATGCCTCAACCTTAATTCTGATCCTTCTGACTACTCCTTTCTTTGCTTTCAATATTCAATGCTGAATTGGAAGCAAGATTGAAAGGTTCTCCTAAAGATCTCCTGCAAATGTCTTCACTTAAGATCAAGTCATGGATTCCATCGCGTTTTAACTTGTTATACCTTGCAAAACTATTAATTGCAGTAACAGTTGCAGCCCAACTATTTGAAAGGGATGATAATAAAATTAATGCCTTCATCCCGTCATCAAACACAATTTACATTGATATCAATTGGGCAAAAATTGTATTAAATTCATTAATGTGATCAATCACAAAATTACCTTCTCCCATTTTAATGTTGAATAATCGACACATCAAATATTCTTTATTGGCTGCGGATGTCTTTTCATACATATTTGATAATGTCTTCATCATATATGCAATGGTCTTCTCATTCACAATGTTGAACGCAACATTCTTAGCTAGTGTTAATCTAACCACAGCAAGAGCTTGCTGATCCAACAACTCTCAATCTAACTGCTCCATGTCATCTAGCTTCTTCCTTATTCAAGGGTTGATACAACTTATTTAATACAAATAATTTTCTATCTGCATCTTCCAAAATGCAAAGTCTCTATCATCAAACTTCTCAATTCTCACATATTCATCTTCCAAAGCCATTGCTGTCGTTGCTTCCTCTAAACTCAAAAAGTTTTCACTACTTCCTTTGAATTGAGACCCCGTGGAAGAACCAAATATTTTCTGATGTGGATGATCAGACAAAGCTACAACTATAAAGCATACTAAGATATAAACTCTTGATACCAGTTGTTAGGAGCAAATAGAAGAAAGAGAAAGAGAGAACGACATAAGAATTTAACGTGATTCGGCACATAGTTTATGTACCTATGTTCACGACTATACTAAAGAAATATAAATTCACTGGATGTTTTAAAATCATTACAAGGTATTACTTATATAGAAATAATAAAGTAAAAGTCTCTTAAGAATAAGAGATGTGGGACTAAACAAAAATAAGTGATATGAGACTTAATCAAACTATATAATTTTAACATAAGTACCATTTGAAAGCCACCAGAGTCCGTAAGCAGAGCCCGTGGCCAATTCATAAAATCATGAAGACCACCAACTTCATCAAGAAGCTCAGAAGTAGGTCGAAGGGCTAAGTGATATGTATTTCCAAGTATTATCTGGCAACCAATATCCTCAAGCTGGCTAGTTGTCAGCCCCTTGATTGTTCCTGGTCATGTAAAAATCCCATCCATTAAACAAAATTGCAGCATCTCAAGTGCGACACAACTATTAAGAATTCACCAAAAGCCTAACAAAACCACACCAAACGGTGCAAATACCAACACTGAACATTTCTTTTCTTTAGTCAGTTGCTCCACTAAAAGCACAAACAATTATGCAACTCATTTAGAAGGTGGACTTGATTCTCTTATTGCATACAAAATTTTAACCAGGAGAACAAAATATTTAGGAAAACAACATTGGTTGCGGCAACCAGATCAGGAAGAATCAAGTTTGAACTCTGACCTTGTGTGCCCACAGGCATAAACAAAGGTGTTTGGCACACAAAATGAGGGAGTGTCAATCGAGCGGCACGTGCACGGTTGAACCTGCCAAGAACCTGAGAAAGTAAAGAGAGTAGAGTTCTAAGAATAGCTTAAACACGGTTACAAAAACCGTCAAAAGACATTGCACTAACAAGACAAAAAAGATGAACAGTGCTTTTCAGTCATCACCCACACCTAGCTATAATATTCCGTTGTATCTACTTACTCTTCATTCACGCATATAAAAGAACCAAAAACAGAAACGAAACAAACTCAAAACTCTATTAACGGTTTTCAATCTCATGTAACTAAAACAGAATAATGACCGACCACCTAATAAAATACGATTTAATACAATGCGGCAGTAGAAGTATAGATAAAATACGAAGCTGAACCTCAAAACTAAGCGCCATCGCGTTTGAAATAGTACTATAATATCCTGGGAAGGCAATGAAGGACGATAAGCACGGGGAAGCAAAAAAGGAAAACGGTTACAATAAGAGGGAACGGAGTCGATGAGAGAAACTTAGAGAGAGAGATGCGTCGAATGAAGGGTTGTGCGTACCTTGGCGGCTGCGAGTGTGTGCCGGCCGCACTTTATTTCTATTGTTTGGTTTTAAACGCAAAAACCAATTCATGGGTGCCTCAACGCTCATCCCCCGAAACATGGCTGCGACCGGCTTGACCAACAACTTTTTTCTTTTCCATCCAACCCTACCCCACGCGTTCCTATAATTAAATCGGTTTCGGTTTATTCTACCCTTGTTTTCTCTATAACGCTTTTTTGCCTCTCTTGTATTAGTTCCATTTTCTATTTTATATGTTTCTTTGAAGAACGTTGACATTAATTTTCCTATATTTTGAGTATATTAAGATTTAATTATACTTTATTGTTGGGGTTGTATTGAATTTTGTCCACAAAAAAGAGAAAATTTGACATGATTAATAGGAAATCACAAATGTTATTCTCAAAAATAGCAGTTGACAAAGAATAATTATATTTTTAAGAAAACTGACAAAGTAAGAATCAAGAGCAAGCACTAGCAATTTGGGAAGAATATGGCAAATTAAGCGGGAGAGAGCATGGATAATTTTGGAATAACATGTTCTAAAACATACAGTTGCAAGAGCTCAAAATAAACAAGTTTTTCATATTAGGTCAATTGTTCACACTAATGATTTGTTTTGAGGTAAAGGAAAGAAATAGGAATAAAATAAATAAAAGGATGAGAAATAGAGTAAACAATATTTGATATTTAGAAGGATTAAAATTAAAAAAATTGATAAAAATGAGATGATAAAAATCATAGAAAATAGACTAACTAGAATATTCTTCATCAATTTTCAAATATCTGAGAAGTTAATGAATAATATATTTTAGCAATAATAATTAAAACTTTTTAAGAATTAATTAATAAATATATTTTTTAAATCCTTTAAATATAAAATTAAATTTAATAGATTTAGAGAGGATATTGTACCCTCTTAATAAGGAAATGGTAACGTAAAATTCTCCTATTATAAATAGAGGTAACTTTTTGGAAAATAAAACGTTAGTATTGTTAACTGATTAAAATTAATTAAAAATAATTTATTAATTATATATTTTTTAAAATAATTTTTTATTTATATTTTTATCGATTCTATTTTAAAATTTAAATATTAGAATTGTTATTAACTTTCTTTTATTATTTTAGATACTTTTTTGTATTTTTGGTAAATATTGATTTTTATATTAATAAAAAATATTTTTATTTTTTAAAATTTAAAATTTACTTTTAAAAGTCTTGTTTCTGAAATTCATTATTGTTAATATTTATTCATTATGGACATTCAATTGTAAAAAATAAATACTACATGATAAATATATTATTTTACATTTTTAAAATTTTTTATTATTTTGATACATACGATTTATAATTATAAAATTAAGCTAAAATATTTTTTAAAAATTATTGTTTAAAATAATTTTATTATATATAAAATATTTGTTTATTTATAAAAATATAAAGTTTCATTATTTAATTGTTAAATTTATTTTAAAATAAAATACTTGTCTATTGCATGAGACACTAAACTAGTTACATTTTTATCTATAAAATTATATTTCACAGAGAAAATATTTATATTAAATTATATTTTTTTCATCTAATATTTTTTTTAATCATCCTCTACAGTTGAGTTTTATCTGTGATTATTATGGAGTTCCACGATATATAATATATGTTAAGATTCACTTACGTACATATGTAAAAATCGAGTAATAAAAACTTAAATATAAAATATTATCAAGAAAAAATTTATTTATAAAAATTGTTTGAAGGACGTAAGTCAGAATGTATTTCATTTTAATAAAGAACTATAAGAAAATTTTCTTAAAATAAATATATTTTACATGATATTTTCTATGAATATTGAAGTTAAAATTTTAAAAAAATTAAAAGAAAAAATTATAAGGCTAAATTTATTATATAAATAGTTGAAGGACTAAATATGTTGGTGTCAAAATCTAATTGTAAATTTACTTGTGTATATCAACATTTTAAAATAATTTAACAATGTCAAATTATAAATACTAGATATTTAAAATAAATAAATCAATACATATAAGTATTAAATTAATTTATAAGATGTTACAGCAAAAAAATTAATTTATAAGTTGTAACTCGAAAAATGTAGATATTTTGTTTAACTTGAAATGCATTCAGAAGGAAGCAAATTCTTGAAAATTATATTTTTATTTTTTTAGAAGAACAAAAATAATTAACACACATATTAGTTATTGTGTTTTTTTAATGTAAAACTATTGATGAAAATTCTAAATTTAATATAACTTATTGTACGACAAAGGGATGTTTTATTATAACCCATTCAATATTACATCTCTATTTATGAAATTATATTTTATAAATAAAATCTTTATAAAGGATCATACTGAATTTATCATTTTTTTCTTTTATCTAATAATTCTTTTTTTTTTTTTATCATCTTTCATGATTTTATTTATAATATTTCATGAACTTATAAATGTACTTATGACCTAAGAAATTTATCTTTCTAAGTAAATAAAATGCAAGTTTTTAAGTAAGTTGTAATAAGGAATTGAGGCTTATTCTTTCTTTGCCTATAACATATCCATTGGTTACTTGTAATATATATTAATTAGGAGTAATGATCTGGCCAAACAAGATCAGGATTAGCCAACGATGAAGAGTGCTTCCTTTACTTCTCCAAAAAATCATAAATTCAATAGTGATTATTTCGACAAAATTCGACAATGTGAGATTAAGGTGTTCAGTACTAAGGCTTTAGGTATTGCCTAAACATAGAGTATCTCACGGTCCTTATTCCAATGTCGTGAGCTAGAAGGTGATTTGGTGGTGAAGGTGAGATATTCTTGGTAGAAACACTTCAACACTCAAGTTATTAGAGTATAAATAAGATTTACGATTAAGGCTTAGAATATGAACATACTTAGGGATCTTGGTTCCCTTTTCTTTATATAGGTGTTAGATACCTTGAGTTATACTTATCCATCATTACACTAATATTACTCATTGAGTTAATATTGTATGGTAGGGATTATACGATGGAATTGCACGTTTACACGAGGTTTTATATGGCTAAACCCTTTGATAATCTGAGGTTAGGCGCACAAATTATTTTAACTAATAAGATAGGTCCTTTGAGTACTTACTTATTGTATCATTAAGTATTATTGGTCTGATTCTACCTGAGATGAAAAGGATTATCTTTGGTATGTAATCTCTGTTAGATTTTTTAACATTAATATTAATATTAATTTATGGATTAGCATTATTAAATTATTATGGTTATATTGTTATTAATTATGACGTAAAATAAATGTGTATAATAATTATTATTATTATTATATAGATTTTGTAATTGGGCTTTTAGTGTGAATAGTACGTGATGGGTTGGACTATTCTATGTGCCCAGTGAAAGGTTCCTACTCTCATCTGATTAGGCTTATATAACTGTTGCCCCATTAGACAGTTACGTATAATAGCAATCAGATAAGAGAGTAGTACACGCTCACTCAAAACAAGGATTGCTTATGACTCATGGTTCTCATCGGGATTGCTTATGACTCGTGGGTTCTCATAAGGTACGCGTTTAACGCAATTATTTAATTATATATAGTTGGAATTGTATTGAGTTGTTATGATGTGTATTATATATAATTGTGTTATCTTTAATTTTATATTTAAAATTCCTGCGAATGGTATCAGAGCCAACTTAATACACATCATAATTTTCTAACTTTGAGCAACCAAAATACTATAATTTTATGTATGGATTTGGAAAATAATTTAGGTTTTTTTTTTCTTCTTATATTCATAAATATCATATCCAAAAAATTGTTAATTTTCATCAGGTATGTTAAGAGAATTTCCCAGTTTATTACTTTTTTGAAACTATGAACCCTAAAATCGTTTTCTTTCAAATTCTCTCATTAGGGCAAAGGTTTATTTAAAAATTGATTAAAGGCTTTTGTTAATAAATTGAACACGAACATAATCTAATAATTAATTCATTATTTCGTTCAATTTTAGATTGAGAATTTATTCTTTCTTTCATTTTGCGTTCGTCATTGCCCTATTTTTGTTGTACACATCACAAAGAACGTAGTGAACCCTACTCGTTGAAAGAAACTGTTTGGGTTGCTTGAATTCTTAATTACTTTGAATCCTCCATGGCTGCGCGAGTTTTAGCCTTTGAAACTCTCTTTTGTTGTTCAAAATACACCCTTTGTAACAATATGAATTGGTACTTTAGAATGCAAGATTGAACTAGGTCGAGTTTCTGAATTTGTTGGACCCGTTTTGAAGCTTATGGGTTTTTTTTTAAGTGTATGAAGCCCCCTCGTGTGGCTGAGAGAGCGTCGAGTGGAGGATTATTTTGATATTAAATTTTTTGGCAATTTTCATAATTTTTTGGGCAGTGTAAATATTTTTTAATTAATTAACTCGTGCTTAAATTAATTAAATAATTATTATATTGATGAAATATGATCCAATTTTTTTTATACATGATTATACTAATATTTGATATTTATGACATTTTTTTATACTATTCACTCTCTTTTTGAATGTCATATATGTTAAAAAAAATTAGTTTTATATATATTATTTGATGTAATTTTAGTATAATTATGATTTCATGCATAATATACATATTTAAATTAATTCTGAATGCATGATTATTCTGTATAAATGTCATTTCACCTATCGTGAGACCATTTATACATGACTTGTGTAAATTATATAATTATATATATTGCATTAATAATAATTATATCCTATCGATGTATTGTTATTAATGTGATTTGAAAATACTATACAATTGTGTTTTACTTATGTCAATTTTGTACTGATACCCTATCGGTGTTAGGATTCTTGTGACATGAAGTTTTGTGCATTGTATTCGTCTTTCTTATTTATTGTGATCTGGGACCCTTAGGCGGGATCATAGTAAGTAAGAAATTTTGTGATTGGCATATTATTGTTGCACTTGAGCTAATTGCGTATATTAAACTTTGTTGTTTCTCATATCAGTGTCTATGCCCACATCAGTGTCTATGCCCACTTCGGTGAAAACTTTGAACAGGACCAATTATGAGGATTGAGTTGACTCTGTTAAATGGTTTCTTGCCATTTTCTAATGTGAATATTGCCCTT